ATGCATGATCCAGACCCTCAATCGTTTGATGTTTCCACCCATTCTAGGAGCTGCCGGTGAATGGTACAAGCTGCATCCTAATTGGTGGTACCATGGTCTCGGATGCAGTCTACCTGGCGCAGAACGATGGGATGCACACCGAGGATATTGCCACCTCTCTTGAGCAAGTCGTACGCGCCTGACGTGGAGAAGAGGCTGCAGTACCCCCTTCTCGGGGCCACCTCCCTCGTCCACAAGGCTCGGCGAACACTTCTGGGGAAAATGGCCGACCAGAGCTGCTGGTCCCGAGAAGTGGTCGCATCTGCTTTTCATCCATGGTGGGGGCGAGGGCTATTGGTAGGGAAATCGTTTTGCTGTTGCCGGTGGGTGGGGTGGGCCATGGGCGCAGGCAAAGATGCACATCCCACCCCACTTTCGAGTAGCTAGAAACAAACAAGTGGGTCTGTGGGGGGACGGTGGCGAAAGTGGCTCGATGCACTCTGAAGCGCCACCCCCTCCGTTCTGTGCCCCATACCCGTGCGTGCAAGGGCCAGTGGCAGACGATGGTGAAGGAGGTGGAGCGCCACCCTGATGCCCAGGCCCCCCACTTCGAGCCCAGATCGGGGGTCCTCCACAGGGCCTTGCTGCAGATACACACACCCACACAGACACACATCTTGCCACGGAGGTCTTCCTCTCGGGATGCTCGACGCTCGGGCTCGGCTTTCAGACACCGCGAATCGCTCATCGCATGGCGCGAGTGCAACAACAGGAGGAGGGGAGGAGGAAGAGGAGCGGGAGGGAGTGGTTGGAACAGGAGGGGGAAATAAAGTCTAAGGATGGATAAGGAGGATGAGGGAGGAGGGGGGGAGGAGGAGGAGGGAGGAGGAGGAGGAGGAGGAGGAGGGCGAGGAGAAGGAGGAGGAGGAGGATCAGGAGGATCAGGAGGAGGAGCAGGAGCAGGAGGGAGAATGGAGATGACCGAGCATTGAGATTTACAAATTTGGGGATGTTCTGCATCTCCTTCTCGGGCCGCATCTGGCGGCCTCGGGGGGAACCATTGTCGCCATGGTTGGCTACCGCCCCGAGATCGTGGTCAGAACAAGCCGTGGGAGACGTCCAGGCGCTGGATCTCTGAGGGCAGCAGGAGGAAGATGACGAGGGCGAAGGCAAGAAGGATAGGGCGAAGGCACGAAGGATATAAGGAGGAGGAACAGGAGAAGGAGGAGGCAGAGAAAAGAGAGGGGGGCAGACGTGCATCTTCTTCTGCTGCAGCCTCCTGGAGCCGTCCTGGATTCCTGGAGCCATCTGGGGGCCCCCGTGGAGCCACGCTGGCCACCTCATGGGGGTCCCGGCTCGTGCTCTGGCCAATCGTACCCGCAGACCTCAGAGCGCACCCGCAAACAGCAAGCAAAATGCAAAGTACGAAACGCACATGAGCACACAGCCACTACCACGTGGTACCGCAATACTTGCCGACTGCGGCACGCCACGCCGCGGCCGAGGAAATGGTGTCCTGCCAGAGCGCCGGAAGGGCCCCCACACCCCCAGCTGCTTCGCAGGCGTGCCTGTCAATTTCCTGGGGCCGCGTGGCTCAGAGCGCACGCGGCCCAGAAAATTGGGCGTCACGTGATGGGGGGATCATAAATGGGGGGGTGGCGAGGGTGGTCCGAAAAGGTACCCAAACGGTACCTAAACGAGCCCCCTGGGGCTCTGGAGGGGCCCGAAAGGGGCACGAAAGGGGACCTGTTCTGACCCCCCCATTTATGACCCCCCCATTAAGCCACGCTCGAGAAAGATGGCCTCCACAGGGGGAAGATGATCCTCGACTTCGGTGTTGGTGGCAATATTTCGGCCACCTTGGAAGCCAGAATATTACCACCAGCTGCCTCGCAGGCGTGCCTGTCAATTTCCTGGGGCCACGTTGCTCAGAGCGCACGCGGCCCAGAAAAGAGACGCCGATACCCCCCGGGCCCCATACGGCCCAGGCCGCAGAGCGCGCGGCTCCCCTCGCGCCCTTGCTGAGGGGCAGCGTCCGGGGGGGATGCCGGCTTCGGGGGGGGGGGGGGAACCGTCGAGCCGTCAATCGGCGATGCAGCGCCGAAGGATCGGTGATGGGCCCCCCGCTTCCATCCCCCTCTCCCCCCGCATGCCTGACGTCTCCTCGTCGTCGTCGTCGTCCTCCTCCTCCTCCATCTATACGCCCTACTCCTCATCCGCCTCCTCCTCCCTCGCCCTCCTCCTCCTACTCATCAGCACCAATCGGCGGTGGACACACCTCCCTGTAGTAAACCTCCCCTTAGCGAAAACGGCCTGGGGCCGAGGCCGACGGACCTGGACCCGCAAAAATGACGGCCGCGACGCCCTCTCGCGAACCGAAGACGGCCAACTCGCTAATCGACGTGTCAGAGTAGGAGGTCTATCGACCTCCGACCGATAGCGAATCCGCACGTTCCCAGAGCGGGGTGGGCTGTCAAGGCCCCAGGGCGATCAATGGGCGCCTGGAGGTCGATGCATCCCCCGCTGAGCCTGCCCACCCCGATGAGCCTCGTCGTCTGGTGCTCGGGTCACCACTCGGGTCTCCGGTGGCCGTTCGGGGCGAGCTGAGCACCTCCGGACTGTTCTCGGCGAGGCGCAGCTGCTACACCCCGAGGCTGGAAAGCCGCCGGGAGACAAGGAAGACGCCCGAGAACCTGGAGCCTCTCACGTTCTCCCTGCCCCCTCCCTGCCCTCTGCCCCTTGACGCTGCCTCTGATGACCTTCGCACCCCATGCGGACATGAGAAGGATCAGGGTCTCGGTGCTGCCTGGGGAGAGCTTCGGGCGGGTGGCAAAGAGGGGTGACCCAAACGGGGGGTGAAGACAAGGGCCCTAAAGGGGTCCTGTAGGGCCCCTTTTGGAGGAAGGGGTCCCAAAGGGCCCCTTTGGGGCCCTTTCTTTACCCCCCACTTACCCCCACTTCTGGCCATCGCTCGGACGTCCATTCCCTGTGTTTTTTTCGGTTTCGTGCGTGGTTTTTTCGCCAGATGGTCGAGGATGCTCCTCGATGGTCCTCGCCGAGAAAGCAAATGCACACGTCCGAGCGATGCCAAAAATTAAGAAGCCACCCCCCGATTACCACCCGCCCGAGAGCTGGCGCGTGGAAGCGCCACTGCTCCTCTATGGTGCTCGCCGAGAAAGCAAATCCACACGTCCGAGCGATGCCAAAAATTAAGAAGCCACCCCCCCGATTACCACCCGCCCGAGAGCTGGCGCGTGGAAGCGCCACTTGTCCTCTATGGTGCTCGCCGAGAAAGAAAAATGCAGACGTCCGAGCGGGGCCCCGAGGCACGGTCGGCCCGTCCCCCTGCCAGCTCACGACGTGGATGGGGGGGACTCTCCAGAGCGCCCCGCTTTTCCGCTTTTCCACGGGCGAGGGTGCTCGATCCACCCTTGAGCAGGCACCGACCGTCCCGGCATTCCTACAGTCCTACCACGACATGTTCTTAGAACATGTACATGTTCTAATAACAAAAGCAATGTTCTTAGAACATGAACCCGATGTGATAAAACAAGACAGACTCCGCCAGAAATGTTCTGAGAACATTCCGTGGAAACCACACACGGTTCTCAGAGCATGGTTTGGTAGGGCTATAGGCGAGCCAGGACGCTTCGCCACTGCTTGACACCCGAGAGGTCCAGCGGGCTCCCAGACAACCCTCCCTCCCCAGGAGCCTGTTTTTTAGACTCTGGCAAGTTTACTTGCATGGGGGGGGGGGGGGCTGAGCCTGAAGCAAGCCCGGGGGGGGGGGCGCGGAAATCACGCATGGGACGCACAGAGACATACTAATACTATATGTCCGCCTTGGAGGCGCGCGTCCGACCCGAACTATAGTACACCCATCTTGTAGTATATCGTTTCTCGAGCGGTGTGGCCAGAAAGCGCCCGCCACGACGCATATACTACAAGATTTCTCGGTGCGCGCGTCGCCCCTGGGGGGGCGACGAACACATAGTATAAGTATGTTGGGGGGATGCCGAACGCAGGTCGAAAGGCATTGCACGTTAATATTCGCTTGAAGAGGGGCGAGGAGGGGGGGGGGGGGGGGGGGCGAACGCCATGCAAGTAAACTTGCCTGAATCCAAAAAAACAAGCTCCAGTAGGCGCTCACGACAGGAAGTCGCGCTGTGCGAAACACTCGGGCACGTGGCTCGTCGATCTTCGGGGGTCCCGGATGTGCCCCCGGGCTGCCGGGAGTCCCTGGGGCCCTCGGGAGGCACCTGCTGCCGGGCCAATGTCTTATTTGACGTGCCTATTGTGACCCCCTGGCCTGTGCTCGTCGAGCGGGCGGTAAGACGGACTTCGAGGCAGATCCAGCCGGGCGGCGTGGCGCCCACCCCCGAAGTCTACTATAAAAAGTGTGGGAGAGCATGGAGGAGCCGAACTGCCCTCAACTTTTGGGCCTTAACTCAGGCCCAGGGCGGCCTTTCCGGACGATCCGGGTGGCCCCAGGCGACCGTCGACAAGACGCAGCTGATTTGAATCACTCGAGGCACGAAAAGCGTCCAACGAACAAGACACGAGAAACGCCTCCAACGCGCTCGAGGGCGGCCAGCGACGACAACGACGAGGTCCAGTTGGCTCATCTCTTTGTCGATAACGTTGGTGAGGATGGTCGTCTTCTCCTTTCGCCGAACTGATCGCGGCACAAACAGAAACCTTTGGAGGTCCGCGCGGGTCTCTTGGATCGGCAGTGGACCCCCCTCCTTCACGCGCGGATCGCGCCAGTGGCGCCAGAGGCGTCGCTAGGCGGCAACACCGACCCAAGAAATCTGCGAGGAGCTCCACAAGGTAATGCTCATGACTGACTTCTGCTCGGTCTAGAATCGGATCGGATCGGCGGCTGCTCCAAAATGCAAAACGGTGCCATGCAATCTTCGGTCCGCACTGGGTCGTCGGAACGCCGGAATTGAATCAAATCGAACCGTCCGAAATCGGCGTCGAACCGGATCGATCGGATCCAAGAGGGGCCCCGCTTCTCCTTAAAGCGCCTCCGGCTGTGCTGCCGCAGCATGATGAGGTCCGCGCTCAGCTTGCGGGTGCTGCGGGTCGACTCCACGAGCTCGAAGAGCGGCCGCCTGACAGGGGCCGAGGACCGCGCAGAGGAGGATGCCTCTGGCCGCTCTTGCCATTCTTGCCGGTACGTCTGCGGGCCTGTGCCTTACCATCGCTCGGACGCCCACTCCCCGTGCATTCTTCGGTTTCGTGCGTTTGATTATTTTATTTTCCGCGGGATGATACAAGATGCTACCCGATAGACCCGGGCGAGGGAAAGTGCGCACGTCCGAACGGTACCTAGTTTCAGGAGGCACAGGCGGCCTCTGGCCATCTGACAAGTTGTCAAGGGTTTCATCCGACGACCCGCCGCCTTTCGAGGAGGCCTGCCCCCTCTCGCACTCCGTCGGAGCGCCGCCGACTGGTGGCCACGGCAGGGGGCAACTCGGACAGCTTGCCAACATGGCCTCCCCGTCACGCTGCCGATGTCCGTCACCGAGTCCGCCGTCTGCTGCTCATGTTCGTCTTCCTCCTGACCCTGTTTGTGCTGCTGATTCTCCTTCTCCTCCTCCTCCTCCTCCTCTTCCTCCACATCTTTGCACTGCTGCTCAAATGACGGATATATCGTTGTCGTCGCACCGCCAGGCAAGACGGTAAGGAGGCCCGGGCGTGTAGCCCGATGCGTCGGTCAAACATAAGTCACTGATGCGAGCGGGTCATTTCAAGACGTGGCTATCTCCTTGATCGGGCGCACAGTCTTTTGAAGATTACCCAACAACTACACGTATGGCGGGCGGGCAACTTTAATACTGTGGCCTTCGCCAGAACACCGGATTCACTCTTCTTGTACAGTTCGTGATGTCTCTATCAGGTGACCAGGTGATAGCTAAGACGCAGTTCGCTTGAAGCAGCACGCCCGGCAGCGGAAGCCCTCCATATCACCGACCGGCGCTCGAGCGGGGACCAGGGTACTGAGCATACTCCAGCGCAAGATTGCTACTCCGTCAGACCCCCTGCAGATCCGCAGCGAGGGATCCAGGTTGGGCTCGAGCCAAAAGGGGTCACGGATAAACAATCACTCGCGACCCCCATCAAAGGCCATACCCCCAGGAATCGACAACCGAACAGAACTGCAGTAAACACGTAGCACGTGTGTTTTCTACACGGAACCAAAGAGAGAGCGTGATCCACCGCCGCTTTACTGTGGAAAATTGCCAACCTTTTCCTCCGGAACCCGGGGGTCTCCCCCCCCCCCCCCTCCGAAAATCCCCCCCCCCCCCTGCCGGACCCCCCCCCCCCCCCCCCCCCCCCCGGCAAAACCCCCCCCCTCCCCTAACCCCTCCCCTCCCCCCCCCCTCCCCCTCGAAAACCGGGGGGGGTCACTACCGGTTCGAACCCCTCCCCCCCCCCCCCTCCCCTCCGGATCCGGAAAACCGGGGGGGGTCACTACCGGTTGGAACCCCCCCCCCCCCCTCGAAAACCGGAGGGGGATCACTACCGGTTCGACCCCCCCCCCCCACGCACCGCCAGCAAACGACTCCCGGTCCCTACCACCGCTCGCATCACATCCCCCACTGTTGTTCCCAGCACCACTGTCCTCACCACCACTGTCCCCACTGGTTCCACCACCGTCCCTATTGTCCCCACCAATGCCCCCACCACTGTCGCACTGTCCCCACTGTTCCCACAACTGTTCCCACCACGGTTCCAATCTCCCCACTGTCTCCACGGACCCAACCACTGCCTATCCCCATTGTCCCCACTGTCCCACTGACTCCTCCGCTGTCCCACTGAGCTGTCCCACTGTTTCCACCACTGTCCCCACTGTCCCCACCACTGTCCCAGTGTTTCCACCTCATTCCCACTGTCATTACACCACTGTCCCCACCACCACCGTTCCCACCACTGTCCACTGTCCCCCCTGTTCCCACCATTGTCCCCACCACTGTCCCCACCACTACCGTCCCCACCACTGTCCCACTGTCCCCCCACTGTCCCCACCACTGTCCCGCTGTCCCCTCACCACTGTCCCCACCAACACCGTCCCCACCACTGTCCGCACCCCCACTCGGTTTTCGAGGGGGGGAGGGGGGGGGGGTTCGAACCGGTAGTGACCCCCCCCCTTTTCATGATGACTGGGGGGGGGGGAGGGGTTCGAACCGGTAGTGACCCCCCCCGGTTTTCCGGAGGGGGGGGGGGGGAGGGGTTCGAACCGGTAGTGACCCCCCCCGGTTTTCCGCCAGCAGCGGTAGAACACGCTCTTTCGAACCAAACGATAACTAAGATGCCAATGGCGTAGAGCAGCAAGCCTGGCAACCGAGGCCGTCCAAAACACCGACCGGCTCTCGAGCGGAGAGAGGAATACCTGAGCACACTGGAACGCAAAATTATCCTGGCGAAAGACCCAACCATATGCAGTTGTGAGTGCCGCAATTGTGAGTACATTCTTCGGTGGCGCTCCTTATGGGGCCACGAACCGCATGAGGGGTATGCCGAAATATGGCGGGGTACACAACGCAAAGGAATACGATAGGTCAGATTACGAAAGAATGAACGCGGGTGAGCCAGAGCGCGAGAGAGTCTGAGTGTGAATGGGTCTGCGTGGGAGTGAGTATATTTGCATGAATGCGATCTTGGCTACGCCTAGGTGTAAATGTATATGAATGTGAATGGCTCGAGCATGCCTGTCCGAACACTCGTGACACTGGGCGTGGCCGCCGCAGGCAGCTCCCGCGGGAACCCCGACGGCAGCGCCCGCGCGCCGCGACGCCCATGTCGGCACGCCCCTCACGGGGATCGCACCCGCTTCCGCCCCTTCTTTTCCCCCCTCTTTGCCTGCGCGCTCCAAAAATCCAAAGCTGCGGGCGCAGAGCAGCGCGGAGTCCCCGCGACGCGCGCAGGTCGCCGCGGAGGGGTCCCAGCGACGCGCGCAGGTCGTCCGCTGCGCGGAGCACAGAGAGCTAGCCGGCCGGCTGATTGCGGGCAAGGCTCCGGCCGCTGGGCAGAGCGACGACGGGCGAGCGAGGCGCTGAGCAGAGCGCCGCGCGGAATCCCCGCGACGCGCGCTGGTCGCCCCGAGAGGGTCCCAGCGACGCGCGCGGGTCGTCCGCGGCGCGAGGCCGAACAATTATGCGGGCAGTCGAGAGAAGGCGCGGCTCGGGGGGGGCGCTCCTCAGGTCAGGCCTCGCGGATAAACTCGGTGAAGCCGAGCTCCCTGGCGAGGGCCGTCGCCTCCCTCCTGCGCCGCTTCGTGCGCGCTGCAAACTGCTCCAGCTGCTTTCGCAAGCCCTCCAGCGGCCCTGCCAGGAAGAACTCGATGCGCGGCGCCCGCATGAGCAGGAGGTCCTCGTGGCGCGTGGCGCGCGAGAGCAGCACATCGAGCTCCAGCCACCAGTCGTCGTCCTCCTTCTTGCCGTTCCCGACCTCGTGGCGGCCGCAGTCCAGGATCACACCTGGGCGACTCGGCCGAGGGAGCAGTGCGCCGGGCAGCCGACGGCCCAGGGCGAGAGTCCACAGGACCGAGGTCTGGCCGCGGACTGCTCGCGCCCCGGAGGTCTGGCCGTCCCCGGAGCGCCGTTCCCCCGCCCCGTCGCCTTCGCGCATGGTGCGCCCCTGGCACGCCACCGTGGTGATGACCCTGCCGTGCGAGAACGGGAAGCCCGTCCGCGTGACCTTGGAGGTGCGGAAGGTGAACGGCTCCGACGTGCGGGGCTCGATGAACACCAGCGGGCCCGCGAGGTCCCCCGTGGGGCTGTCGTCGCGGCGCTTGAGGTCCTCCACGAAGGGCGCGCTCGCGTACTTCTCCATGCGCACCCAGAACCCCAGCGGCAAGCGCTTCAGGTAGATCCTCTTCTCCCCCTCTCTCTCGGCTCTCTCGACGTCGTCCCGATCTCGAGGGTCCACGACGATGTGCACGATCTGCCCCTCGGCATCCTTGACGAGGCCGTTCTTGAGGTCGAGCGCTTCCAGGAGCCGGATCCGCATGCCCACGTGCACCGGGAGCAGCCCGTGCATGCCACCGGTGTTCTTCGGGTTGGCACAGTTCATCATCTTGGCGGCGTCCTTGACGCTCATCGTCGGCGCAGACCTGTCGGCGGCCTGCACGAGGAAGAGGGGCTTCTTCAGGACGTCCGCGTCCCGCTGAGCACGCATGTTCATCCACCGCGCCACGGTGTCCCAGTAGGACCCGATCATGTGGCCGTTCTGGGACCTCTCCTCCTGGAGCCGGCGATCATCGGGTTTCAGCTGCATGGCGTTCCACGTGGCCCGGATGGCCGGAGGGGCCTGCTTCCCCAGTCTGCGCAGGAACGCCATGAGATCTCGGAGCTTGGGGTCCTTGAAGCGGTTGGACGCCTGGAGCTCGAAGCACAGCGGCGTGTTGCAGAAGAGCTTCATCACTGCCTGGCACTCTGGGGCGAGGTTGATGCCCGCCGCCGCCAGTTCCTCGAAGCTGGAGATGAGCGACACCTTGCCTCCCGTCGGCTTCAGCTGCAGGAAGTCCCCCAGGTGGATCACGATGGGCATCCGGCCGAAGGCGCCGCCGACCTGGTCGTGCTCGCGCTCCTCCGCGCCCCACTCGGCCTTGCGTCCCAGGTAGGACCGGAACGCCAGCATGTTGTACAGGTTGGGCGAGATCATGCTCACCTCCTCCAGGATCAAGCACCTGACCGCCTCCCACGTGTCCTGCAGCGCTTTCAGCTTGCCCCCCGCGGGTATGTCCTTGTTCCTGAAGGACTGCACTCCGATGACTCCCGCCCGGTGGCAACTGACGGCCTTGTGAGCGTCCGTGGAGATGTTTGCGGCCTGAGACCACTTCGCGCAGACTATCAGCGTGGACTTCGCCTTGCCCGTCTCCACAGGGAACAACGCGTCCATGGCCGGCAGCACGATCTCCTGCACCATGGCGGTCTTCCCGCTGCCGCCCTGGCCGAGGAGCAGGAACTGGAACGTCTTCCGCTTCGCGTGCTCGGCCATGCTGCCGTCCTCGATCTTCTGCTCCTCGTCCCACACCACGTTGCAGGCGTTCGCGAAAGCCGTGACGAACAGGGCCTGGTCGGGCTTCAGAGGGCGGCGCTCCTGCTTC